AACAGAATCAAACCACTGTCCTGTTGCATTTGAGAAAACATGTTACCATTTTCACTTCCAGCAAGCCACAAAGAAACTCTTATGCCTACCTGCCCTTTTTGTTATTTAAAATATGTTGCTTGAGAAACACTTCAAGAAAAATAACCTCACTAAAAAAAAAATAAATAAATTGTTGCATGTATCTTTTCTGGTACTTTCTTGAGATAAAATGTCTCTTAATATTTTTTCCAGACATTCGGGACAGTGGGGGACCTAAGCCTGTGATGGTGTATATTCATGGAGGGTCCTACATGGAAGGCACTGGAAATTTATATGATGGCAGTGTTCTAGCAAGTTATGGGAATGTGATAGTCATCACAGTCAACTATCGCCTGGGGGTACTTGGTAAGAAGCTTTCAGCTTTCCGTTAATCCCTGCTATCTGCAATACAGTTCGTGTTATAGGTGAGAATGTATTTTTTTTAAAAAAAAAAGGAAAACAAGTAAAAGAACAACAACTTTTTTGCTTTCTTTGTCAAATAAAAGGTTTGTATTCGGAGGATGAGGTGCAATGGCATTGAAGGCTTTATCTGGAAGAACCTATTGTCATGCTTTTAGTGGTACAAAACAGGTCTTTCCCTTGCTGACCTGTTCAGTCAGAAGAGTTGTTTGGTTTTTTTTTTTTTTTCTTTTTTCTGTGAATAACAGCGATTTTACTTCACAGACAGGGCAATTAGGTTGGTTTTTTTTTTTTTAAATGTTAAGTCATAGACAATAGGGTTTTCTGTTGGAAGGAAGAGACTAAGTTTTGGTTATCGTGGGTTTTTTCATACTTTCAAAAAGCTAAGGAGGTTATGAAAATTTTATTTAATAAAAGCTGTACTTTTTACCTGTATGTTTTGTGCTTCGTTGTGGTTTTGAAAAGTGTTATGGGTGTGATTCAAATACATCTAATATTTCTTTTTTAGGCTAAACTAGAGAGTGAATAGCGTTGCTTTTGATTGTTTCAAATACAGTGAATAGGATATGCTGATACTGTTGGTAGACTTGTGTGGTATCCCTCTGGTAGCTTATATTTCTAAATAATCATGCTTTGCTATTTGTTCAACGTAGTCACATTAATGATACTGTCTCAAGAGATGGTGAACTTGTATGATTGTTGTGGTTTTTTTTCTTTTATTTTTTTTTATATTCTTCTGAAAGGTTGCATACTAAGACTCCTGAAAGCAGGAGTTCAATTCTGGGATATTATGGAGGTCAGTACAGTAACTTCAGAATGCTTACATAGGCACAAGGGTATTCCCTGTAACATCTGAAGTAGGGTGATAAACTCAGTGTCATTCACAGTGGTGAGTTGGTTCTGAAGACCAGTCAACTTTGTTTTCAATTCGTGGGCATAACAATGCCTGCTACTCTGGTTTTCTTTAGTGTGGTCATTTTATTTCATAATTGTTCTGTTTCTGTGTGTTTTAAATTCAGTTAGCACAATCCCCAAATTCATTGGGTGTGGTTTGCTCACCTAAGAAATTTTTTTCCAACAGTTTCATTTTTGTTAAAAATTTGACATTTGAATACACTTCCATTTTAGGGGGAGAGAATGGATTTTGACTTTAGATTGTGAAACTTAGTCTGCTACGGTTGTGTTTTACAAGGGACTGAATCATTTGCAGGAAGATCACAACTATTTTTTGCTGGTTTTATCTCCTTAGAATCCAGTGGGGGGTTTCATTTGTGACATACCTTTTTAAGGAAGGAAATTCTGATATTTCGTATGTTTTTCTCCTTCCTCCTATATTCTAATTTGTATAGTGACTTTAAGTCCTTGGGCACATATTAGTGCAGCAGTTAATAATCTGTAATCTGTATCTCCAATCAACATTTTATTTTTGTATCAGTGCTTTTGTCTTTGAGGTTTCAAACATCATTTATCTATATTATCTTCCAATAGGGTATTCTGTCCAGTAGTACAGTATCCATTATCTAAAAGCACTGTTTATTTTTGTAAATTACTTAGCCTAATTCCTAAATCACTTGTAGTTGCAATGTTTGAAAGGGCTAGTTGCTTGAAAGATGAAAATTAATTCACCTTCATTGATGATAATGCCTTTTCCACTTGTAGTTTCAACACTGATCCCTGAGGTAACCCACTGCTAACGTCTTACTGAGGAGGATTTCATTTGTGTTCATGCTTTTGTGGTTCTTTGGACTTTGTGGTCTTTACAGAACCTCCAGGGCCAGAAAGCTAATTTTCTTTTAAGTGAGTGAGACCTATTACAGTAAAACCTTTAAAACTCACAGTAGAATCCACTGGTTGGTATGAATACTTGAAATTACTTTCAAACTAACTAAAATAACCCTGTATCAGGCTTATAGAGTTTTCTGAGTAACATAACTGCACCTGTTAACTCTACATAGTAGTTCATGTATTTTGTAGCTGATACAATCTCTGTCATGTATTAAATAAATAAGGATGACATCACTAAATAGGTAGTGTAGAAACACATCAGTAATGAAAAAAGAAAACTTGCACAGTTTACATTTTTTCTGCCTGCATTTGTTTCCTGGTCTTAAGGGCAGAACTTTGGCATAATCGTAGTAGATATCAGCTTTTACTTTTGCTGTTTGGAAACTCTCATTCATCACTGTACAGCAGAATGTTACCCTTTGCCGTCATGTTAAATAAGATATGGTTTTACAAGCACATAGCTGACAAATTCTTAGCTTCCCTTATACATATATATTCCCTTATATCCCCTGATCATAACCCATAAGGGGAGAGGTTCAGCTTCACTGTGCATTGCCAGTGGGACACCTAGATCTCACTTCATGGCTGCTGTGTAAAATGTCTGTCTGTACAGGGAGAAGTAATATAGGGGTTTGGTTTTTTTTACGTGAGAAGATGTAGGAACAAAATCCGTCTTCTTACTTTCATATGACCTTTATTGGTCTGGATATGTGTCTTAATATAGATGATCTCTGTGAGTCCCAGGAATTCTGCTGCTGTTTTACCAAGATTTGCACTGTAACATGCTTAACAAGGAAGCCAGTCAAATAAATGTTTCGAGCTGCAACAGCAGCATTTTCTTCCAGACCAATGGTGATGCGAAGGGAGGATATGCTGTGATACTGGATTCCTTACAGTGTTATTGTTAAGTCTATGGTAGAGTTTGTTGGTGCAATTCAGATTATTTTTGCTTATTCTGAGTTGAAACATCCTTTGTCTTACAGACTAATCTGCTCGAGGACCTGCCTTTTATGGAGATGTAAGATTTACTTCTAAATAAAAATGTTAGAAACCACCTAAAAGTGAAATCTATTTGGTAAAGAGAAAACAATTATAAAAAGTTAGAGAAGTATGGAGAAAATGCATTTAAAAAAAACCCAAACAAAACCCCAGTGAGTTCCTTGGCCCAATTTTGTCTTTGAAACGAGTCTGAGAATGAAAGCCTTTTAGAATCTTTCCTTAGATAAAGATAAGATGGAAAAGAGAACTCTTTGCCCTGGAAAATTGGGGACCACTGAATAAGAAGCCATTGGAAACAGACTATTTATATCTTCTTTAGATTGTCTTTGAATTTAAGCCTTGTTCAGGCAGTCTCATCTAGTGAGAAATACCATGTGAATAGTCTAATACCCTTGAAGGACAGCACAGGAGTAAGCGCAGATATATTTTTACGGCTTGTTTTTAGGAAAGGACAGATATGAAGGCAAGTTTGGATTTTGAACTCAACTAATTGGAGACTTCAAATGTTTATTTAGCATATATCCATCTGATAAAAAGTAGGAGCTTTTTGTTGAAATTTCATAAAAGAAGTATAAAAGGATTATAAAAGGAGTCTGTTTAACAACCAGAAAAGTTCACAATAGATTTAATACTGCTAGTGCTCTTTTCTGTGTTCTTCCTTGTGAAAAGTTTGTTTAGAAAAGGAGAATTCTTTGAGTCAGCATTGTCTACTGCCTCTTTTGCTCTCAAGAGGGGAGGGAAAAGAGAGAGCTGGTTTATGTTTATTGCATACTCATTTCTTAATTTTATTAATTTGTACTTCTTGCTCTTGATTATCTTTTAACCACAGGACTTTAACAGAACTGAAAGAAACATTTTTAGTGCAGCTCACAAACTGAACTGAGGGGTGGAAGAATGATTCACGGGAATCTCTAGGCTAAGCACTACTTTAAATTTCCCATTTTTTCCTCTTTAAGAGGCAGTGGCTTTCTCTATAGAAACAGTAAATTGTCATTCCAAGGGTCTGGGTTAAAAGGTGGTAATAAAGAAAAAAGAAAAATTATATGTCTTTTGTATTTTCTGTTTGACATTCTGAATAATGCCTATATTAGGAAGGCAAATGTTCTACACCTGTAAGACTGTAATTTATGCCAAAATGGAAGCAAACCTGTAAGTGAGATTGTCTTGGCTATGCTTTCTTTAATTACAAGCAATTTTCCCTTTTGAGGAGGGTATAGGGACTGTTGCTGTCATTTATTCTTGTATATATATTGCCATCCTTTAGTTGGAGGATATTGACTGAGATCACCTGGTAGAAAACGCCTATCCAGGTATTCAGCCACTCGGATCTGTTTTTCCAGTTTTCTGCTTTTAATGCTGAAAGTGAAGTCACTGCAGCATACTGTTTGAAAGGCCTGATATCCTTATTCTTACTAGTTATTATTTCACAAATAACTGCACTGAAATCAATGGGGCTCCTAAGTACAGTGCTTCCCCTTGTGACAGAGCCTAGTTGCCCCTAATTTGAAGTGATGCAATGAGGAAAAACATTACTGGAAAATTGCTGCTCATGCACAGAGCCTCTGAGAAAAGCTATTCTTAGAAGAGGTCTGTTTTGTTTTCCAGCCCAAACCTCAGTTTTTCAGTAGTGTCAGCTGGCTATGTTGGGCTGCAACGTTCATGTAAAATAAAACTCAGAATAGTGAAAGAAAACAGAACAAACACAAAATACTGTCACAAAAGCCCTTTCCTACTTTTGATAATGACTGTTAGAGCTTTGTGGATGACATAGTGACAGACAATGAGTCTTGTTATGCCTTAACATATTTTGTTGCTGTGTGTAATAATCTGTTTAAAAATGCATTAAATTTGAACATACATACTGTGTCTATGCAGAATCATGCCAACCAGCAAAATCTTATTGGCTAAAGAGGTACAGTAAATATAAGGATACAGCCCTGTAGTAAGTGTTGGATAATCTGTGCCAAGTCTAGCATTTCTGCTGTTATCCATCTTTCTCTTCAGTAAGATATTGCACATTCCCAACAGGCAAAAAATAATGCACAACTTTTTCTTAATGAGTAAGTTTATGCATGTGAGTTTGTTCCCATTGCTATAGAAATTCCAGAATGTAGCCTAGTGAACATTTTCATGGGATGAAGAATTAATCTAGTTGACTATTT